GCCACCCAGTGGTAGCTGACACCTGTGTGCCGTGTGGGACAGTGTCACCTAAGTACTGTGGGTGAGCACATCCGTGGTGAGGCGCAAAGGCCCCAGCGCAGGTGCCTGTTGCTGACATAGGAGCCAACGAGGGTACACTTAATCTGATAAAAGATTTGCTAGCAGTAGTCGGCAGCACACGATTATTTTTCCTGGTTGATATCTCGATATGCCACACAAAGCCTATTGTCATCTTCTTAGGCTTTTCTTTCAGGACCTCGCTCCTCCTCTTCCAACATTGACAGTCGCGCGAAACGAATCGCTGAGCAGGAAAACATCCACCAACTACTACAGCAATGTCGAACCAGTCAACGTGGAGCTGCCTGCCAGGTAAAGTTGTCCGTTTTTTAGTGTGGACGAGTTCTTACATTGTCCGATTGGTCTCATTCGAGGGTGTTCTATCGTCGTCATTGCCGCCTTCGATGATACTTTTTGTATGTATATAATGTGACTGCGCTACGTAGCGAAGCGCTATTCTGCGACTGTTGAACAGTTGACCGCCACTGCGCAGCTGGTCATACACGAGTTTATCGCCTTTCTGCTCATCGCTGACACTGAAATGGCCAAATGCTAAGCTATTTTAGTTTCCGATCCAGAAGATGATCCACGTTTTCGAGTTTCCTCCTTTTTTCTACGCTCCCAATACTTGTACGTATTCTATGAAATGCTGTAAAATGTACTGTTCGCCAAATGGAAAAAATTCGATCTCTTTACCGTTTTGTAGTCTAGTCACGCTAGCGCACTTGGAGGCAAAGCTCTGAAATTTCTGAAAATAATGCTTCATAGGTCAGTCCTTCCATTTGTGGTGAGGTGCACGCCGAACTGCGCGCCTTGAGATGCTTAGCTCAAATCCACCATCGATACCTGTGATTTAAAAAGATGTTTTGGCCGTAAAAGCACAGTGTCAGGGTAAAAAAGAAATTGGAGGGGCTACTCCATCCTTCTCTGCTGTTCTCAATTTAATAGCGTTGATAACGCTAAAAGCTTCATACCACCTCCATTGAAAAAAGTTTTAGATAAGATAAATAGATAAAGAACCGGCTGAATCAGCATAAGCAATTTTGCTCAAAGAGCCGAGCCTAGGCCTATAGGAAGGGTAGCGCGGGGAAGAGGTCCACAGTGGGGAACCACTTGAAGGAGCAAAAAAGCGTATTAGATTTCGATGATGTAGGGCATTTCAACGGTTTTTATCAATGACCTGCTTTATATGGGCGTGTTACTGAAGTTCTTATGTTTACCGCCAGAACTATCCTCAGCCTTACCTTGATCCTTATCGTTAGAGCCCAGAGCAGAATGGGGCGACCCCTTCCAATTAAATTTTCACGCAGTGGTAGTGACCTCTACCCAAGCACGAGGTCGTGAACGCTGTATCCTTCGATAGCTCCCTTTTGCTCTTCTCAGCAGCTCAACAGAAAGGCATTTGATGTCTTTGCTTCACCGAAGCAATCCAGCAGATGCCAGTACGAACAGTTGCGAGCAGTTTCAACAAGCTGCCAGAAAGTATGAGTTGGTAGAGTCATTCGCCCAGAAGACGAGAAGCCAGAAATTGCTATACTTAGTCTCATACGACCTATCTGTTGCACGCTTTGCAAATTATTATTCAATTTCTATTCAGCTTTTTTGACTCCGAAAACTTCCTTTTAGGGAACAACTTTAAATTCCACCAGCAATAAAAGGTTTCTCGCCTCAAAACTGCACACAAACAAGCTACTAAATGGCGCTGATCAAGTACCCCCTCATTTCCTACGATGATCCCTTTGTAAATAACTTGAAAATGTAAGTAGGGAGTCCCAGTACAATCCGTCATTGAGAGATTTAATTGGCCTGCTAGTGATTGGGCAGGCTTTGTTCCAGCAACATACCTGAAATGGTTGCCGGCTCGGTGACTGAGCGATCCAGCGGCAGTGGAGCACGTTTCGGAAAGCTTCGGCACTTCAAACGTAGCCGAATGAATTAATTATTGCTGGGGTACGCTGGCTGAGTGTCACAGCAACCACCGCCCTGGAATTATTGCGAAACGTTCGCGTGCACCTAGTACCACCGAGTTCATTTTCGGTTCCAATGAAATTTCTCGTGCGGAATTCAATGGCATCTGTTGTTTAATTTTCTCACGATTTTCTGCTAATAGCTTCATAGCACCTGTCTAACTCTACACGCTCTCGGAATCCGAACGATCGCTATTCAATAACTCCCGGACAGACTCTCATGATCGCGTGACTACGCTTCTTAAAAATTTCTTTAAATATCTTGACTTGTACTCGTTTCTGGTGCTAATGCTGTCCTGGCCGCTGATCGGAGCGAAGCGTCACAATATTCAGATGATGTGCAAACCTTACCAAGATGGTAATTGAACGCCGCCTCTCGCATTCTGGGGTTTCACATAAACCACCAAAGGCATCGTTTACGCGTAAACAATCTTCATGGCATGATGATTACTACTTTACTTTCTATGTCATAGCTAGCTTTTGAAAAGTTGCATAGAAAGAAACCACCATGACATTATGCAAAGCTCCATGCAAAGTTGTTCATGGCAAAATTTACTGGCGCGTAAATTTTTGGATTTTTTTGCTGAGAAACTTCAATTCTTTAAGCCACTTTCGCAATGAGGCAATGTGTCGTATCTTGTTCTGAATATTTGTAATGACAGTTTTCTCATTATCTTCAAATTTGGTATATCACAAAGCAAGAATCGGCTTCTTGATCCCTCATTCATCACTTTCATCTATCGAAGAGTTCTGGGGTTCTCTTCCAGCTTGCCAATCCAAAATAAGAAAGTTTTGTACATCGTAGTTCTACTACTTCACAGATTTTGACTCCTCCGCCCGAAGATGTTTTCTGATCACATGGTTCCTCAGCTTGGAATTTTTGACGTTTCAAAGAAAAGGTATCCAAAAATCTGGTATAGTATCACGATTTTTGAGAAATCGCAAACTCCCTGATAAAGTCCTACAACTTAACTTTACTTAATTTTTAGTAACTTCCCATAAAGTTGTTGGTCCTCCTCTTTTTCTGCAGGTATCTGTGTTTTATAGCAGAGTGACTGCGCGACTTTTTATGTTCCACAACCCAACATAGCACCTTGAGAGCGGCAAAGCAGCTAAACAGCGGTTTATGAACAGCACTGTATGACTTCGGCTACCAGTGGCGTCAGAGTCATGTGAATTCAGCATGACGAAAAAAAACCGTATTTCTTTGAAATTTGGTTGTGTTGAAGCACGAGAACTCTGTCATTCTATGCGTTCCAAGATCGCACGCTTGCTCAAGACTGCTTCAGTCATGGCCGTCACACGCCGTTCTCTCAAGCCGAAATCGTGTCCATTCATGACGTTTTTGGATGTTTTTGTTTGGCCGGCGTGAGACCGGCGTCCGCTTTGAATACGACGTAATTAGTGGCCGCGGCACCTTGGCGTCTGCAGATTTGCGTTATCGACAGTCGGTATGGCATCCCTTAGGGTTAAGTCGATTGCTGTTGATATCCAATTCCTCTTTGGTAGCACCTTTTTGGAAGTCCGGAAGAAGACAAATTTGGCTGTCACATTGAGGACATGTTTGATGACTTCAGTGTCGCGTCCAAAACAGCTGCCTCACTGGTTGTGACTGATGTGTGAGCGATGTTTGACCTCGCACGGATCGGTTTTGCAATTTGCAGAACAGTCCATGCATTTGGCAAGGAACTGAATTGGAACACTTCCGGACTGCTGTGGGCGAGCAGGCGCTCGCCTTCGGAATACGCGGCAGTAAAGACGCCAATAATAGCCGGCTCGCGGGACCATCATGCAAAAGTCATCAGTTGAACGAGAAATTAAAGCCCTCTAGGGAGGAAGGCGAATGACAACGGCATGAAATGGATCGAGCAACGACAAGGGTTCAAGTAGATCTCCGAGGACAACTAGGTCTGGTGCAAACTGGAACTGCCAGAGATCTACCATGACAGGAAAGGGCGCAGATCTTCAGCAGTTTCACTGTCGACGGCAATCAGCCAAGGAAAAGCATCCATTCAAAGTAGTCGCAACTTGTGAGACTTTACTGCCACTTGGGTTAAGCTGTTCGCCATTGACCGTACTTGTCTCATGGCTATCAGTTAGGATGCCAAGGGCGCTCCAGGCTTACGAGCTACAGTGTTACAAAAATTCTGGTAAAAGTACTTGTGGGTTCTTCTGTGCCGAACAGGTTTTCACAGAGACACGTTCATTTCGGCCGACGTTTCGACTAATTCGCCGTCTTCAAAGGTACAGAAGAATCAAACTATTCTTACAAATGTCAAGGTTTGCAAAGCGCTTGGGTGGCCATTTTCTGTTGTTATTTATGGCTTTTTGGGTGGCTCTTCTAGTGTTGTTGTTCTCGCCGAGGCAATTTTGAGCAGTGTAGCAATGCCGAGCCCTAATGATGAATGATCCGAGGGCACTGTCAGCTGTTTATGGGACTGCACGCAAAAACAAGCGCATAAACAATGGCTTTGCAGCTTATTGTCAGCCGAGGTCATCAGTGAAATCACCTTGCTTCACATAAATTTTCCACTCGCTTATTCCACTTTTTTACACTAGGTAATTTACTTCGTTTACTCCTTCTATAGTCCTAGTTTTTTAGTTCTATTTTTTTGTTTGATATTTTAGCAGCCTTGCTTTTCCAGACCTCAGTGTTTACTCATGTTTACTCAATTTGGCAAATATAATATTCCACAACAGCAAAATAGTTTCCAAGGTGAAATTTGAGCACAATTTGAATTCTAATTCATTGTGCTGCCTCAGCTTGTATTATTTAGTTACCAGATTAGTCCCCCGTCAACCGCCGGGACCTTCCTTTCCTGCGCAAGCTTTCTATCCTCCGCTATGGTCCCTTCCTCCTGTGACACCAACACCTCCTGGAAGTGACGCGTATGCAACACAATGGTGTTTCATACAGTAGAAGGGACACAATCATGATATGACGGTAGATTTTTCGCTTCCCTTCCTCATCCTCCCTTCCTCTCTCCACTGCCCTCCAGCTGCCACTGCAGCACCATGTGGAATGAACGGAAGTGTGCTAAGCAGGTGTTTATATAGCCCTAAGAGTGTTATCACAACTATCCTGCTACAAAACATTGATATCTCAAATCCTGTAAGCTACCCGATTTGTTAGCGGTTTGTTTATCCCATGAGCTTCCTTCTCACTCACTTCATTTTGCGGACGGACACACATACACACACACACACACACGCACACACACACACATACAGATACACAAACCGACACACAAAGTTAGCGCTTTATAAAATAGAAGGATTTCATGAAATTTGAGCACAATTTGGAACTCTAATTCATTGTGCTGCCTCAAGCTTGTTTATTAGTTCATAAGTTGGGAAAGAAAGCATCCCAGCGTGATGATAGCAATGCCCCAGCATTACCGATGGATCCACGTCTGACGCTTTCCGTTGAGATCTTGAGGGAGCCCATTTAGAAATGAGTACCGTAACTTTGCAAAATCTCATTAACACGTTGGAGACCGCGCACGTTTCACGTATTGCGGCCGCTTGCGACTTCAATGGATTTTTTTTAGGAATCTTATCAAGCGAATTGGGAGCAAAAACCTATTGAATGACTCAGAGGAAATCTTAGTAAATGTAATGAAATGAAAAACAAAAGAAAAACTGACATTTTTTCCCAAAATCTGGGACATAAGGTCCATACGGGTAACAGACTGCAGCCCACATATGGGACTGCATGGGCTCCAAGGTGTTAAAAAGCGTGTCTTAGTCGTAGTTGATTTAATTCACTCTTGCGTAGCCTCTGTAGGTTACTACTATCTACCATTACTATCTACTCGGCGACCATTTGCCCTCACTTCGGCGATGGAGCATTATTCTTGACCTCAGAAATTGGCTTAGCGCCGCTCTCTATTCACACCAAATGTCACATTTTTACTATTCGACCACTTGTCGCTCAGAACATTGTCAGCCTTAATTACGTTAATTGATGGAGCAAGGCCAAATCCGGCCGTGTTTTCTAAACAAATGCCTTCTGGATATTGTTTAACTTGCTATCTTAGCTATTTAATTTTGTGATAATTTAGCCCTTGCGATCGCCCGGTTATGGCACGTATGGTCCACAATTGGCGTTGTCAGCAGATGGTGAAACATTGAGCGTGCATTCACGAAGTTCATTGAGGGTAACGTCGAAGCGGCAACCCGAGCATACATGTGAGTTTATCGCTGTCTGGAAGTTATATTGACAAAATATTGATATGTGAGCTAAAATTAGGTTCTTTTTCGAACTTTGTCATCTGCGCTGCACTGCACAGGCCACGTCGTCTCGTCGGAACCGTTCCTACCTTCACATCGTAGTACAAAACATTTTCATCAGTCGAAGTGATTGATGAGCAAATGTTTGTGCGCTGAATATCCTTAGCTTGTCCCTGTCATGGCTACGATTTCGGTACCTCCTACTTACATTATTTCCTGCACTTAGGTACATACACACTGGTTCCTCGTTGTAAGCACAACCGTTCATTGTCCGGGTCAGTTTCGGCTTTTTGCCAAAATTTTACTGTTCGGAATGAAGCCCTGCATCGAATTCCATTGCGATTACCTTCGGTGTAGCGCCTTTTTCGCAAGGAGCAGTTTTTCTTCGGAGTTGAAGATTTCATAGTTTGGATTGCTTTGATTTCTCGAATATCTGTTCTTCGAGACAGTAGAGTAGACAGGTAAAGTAGCTCTCTTGGCAGTTATTTAAAACGCACATCCCACCTGGTACTTTGAGGAGCGACTATGAGCGCTAATCTTCTTAAAGGGGGGGGGAAGGAGCATTCAAAACAGAGCATTCGAAAGCCGCTGCTATATAAAAAAAAGAACTGAGCCCAAGGGAATGCCAGGGACATAAATTGCTGAAATGCTTTACAGATTCCCTTCCACTTTCTAACTCTCAGTCCCAGGTACTGCGATTGGCTCACTCACTCAGATGTCCCTTCAAGTTCATGAGCGCCTGACTGTAATACGCTATGTGCGGCTATAGAGAACAATTTTTGCGGAAACCGGATGGAGGAGGAAACTCTTTGGGAAGAGCGTGATCGCCGGCGATTTGGGTGAAACATTTCGTTTTACTATGCGGTGCAAGCCAAGGCGCACGTCATGCAGCACGCGATCTCCGCGAAAGCAAGGAAACTCGGCAAGAGAAAAGAGGAGACAGAATAAAAGGATCTTTTCTTTGAAGTGTCAAAGCCAATCACCGGCCACGCGATTCAGTCCAGCTCCCCTTTGATGGTTGCATAAATCGATGTTTTAAGACAATCGAGGGGCCTGCCTACTCCAAATGAAATCTAAGGTTCTGTGATGAATGAAACTCATTAGTGGGGCCTGGTGTGATGATAACAAAGTTGAGCGTTCCTGATCCCATGTGCTTACCGTGTAAGAATATGAAATGCCTTTTTGAAATTAAAGGGAGTCGGGCAGAGTCAACCCTGCGTTGCGCAGTTCGCAACGGCACGTTGAGAGATCCTCAACGCACGCTGTATGGGCGGAGACGCAGACGGCTCGAGCATGCGAGTGTGAATGTTCGCGCGAGAGAACGTGTCTAATCGGGCGAAACTGCGCAACGTGGCCGTTGAGAACTGCGCAACGCAGGGTTGACTCTGGTTGAGGTTCGGATCGGTTCAGGGAAGTTCACGTCGTGCATACATTCACACAAAGATTCCCAGCGACATGGCATTTCCTCTTTTTTGCCATGAGTTAATCATCTTCACATGGCTACCATCACAGTAATGGCGTTAATGTGTAATATGGTTCTGAAGGAGCATACCGCTCTTGTTCCCTTCCTTTGAAGTTGTTTTCCCATGACATTTGAATATGTCTCAATTAACTTATTTATACCAGATACCTTCCCGATTCGTGAATATTTAAGGTACGAAAGTCAAGTTGTAGGGAATGACAAGTAGTATTAATTTTCCAGTAATGTCCTTCGAAGGGTACAGGTCTCCACGAGACCTCTTATCATATATCTGGTTACCAGAACCTGCAAAATATCCACCCTTAGTTCTCATGTTATCTTTCACGTTAGTCCATTTCCGTGAGAAAGCCGGCAGTATGGGCGGATTACCTTCCTCCGCGTGAGCGCAGCCTTTGTGTCTTGTTTAAGCTTTTCAGCGCTGTCACAATATAGCGGGGACAGTGGTGCCCGATGGTATTTCAAGCAGCGTACTGATCATTTACCTCTTGTTTACTTCATTCATTTGAAATAATCACTTCTTTCAACACTTGTAACCTTGCTCATAACACATTCTTTATATAGTAATAACTACTATTTCTGGGTTGGGATTTGGGAATCAAAGTTGTAGTCTAGCCCCGTTTTTCGCGTAATAACTTACCTCGGGGGACTGAGATGCCGGGAGCGAAGCGCGTGACATTTTCCCGTTTATCTCTCTCTCTAGTCTTAGTCCTGAAGAATGTCACCATATCTTGTGATAGCGCCACTTTTTGGAATATCAATGATTGTCGTTAGTTGATGATTCGTTTCTAGCCTGGAGCATCCATTTTCCTAAGTTAGACGAGGGAATATATTGAGTTTGTGACGATTTTCTGTCCTACTCCCTCCCTCATCCCTGCTATACGCTTATCCGTGGTTTTTCCAGCCTTATGCAGCACAACCACTTTCAAATAGAAACTTGAAGGATTTAAGCAATTAGCAGTTTTTATTGAAATCGATATAGTTTGCATCACAAGTACGGCAACTGTCCCTCGAAATGATGCAAGGTTCCTAGAAAGGCACTTTTGTTCTGCCACACTGAATTTTGATAAATTTTGGAAAATAGATTCTTGTTTTTTCAAAAAATCCATGTGCAGACCGAAGATGGGGTCTTTCAAAGAAAGCTGCCTCATACATCAACGGACATTTGCGCAGGGTGCTTCAGCATCGGCGAGATCTTGAGCGAGTAACCACGGTGCATGGTGGTACGGCGCTTTTGCTTATTACATCAGCCACGTTTCTCCTTGCTCCTTCCAAGACTTCCGTTCCCACAACTGAGCTGCCTTACCTCCACTACTCTGCTGCTGGCCGCGCTTGTGTCAGGCTCTTTTTACTCCTTTTACACTCTTTTCAAATGTCTGTCTATGCGATAGGAGAAACTTATTACGACTCATTGGCTAACCACCAATGGCTATAAGGCTTTAGTTTTTACTCTAAGCTCTAACGTATGTAATTTTCAAAAGGAGATTTTTCTTTGGATATTACTGATAATTTATAACTTGATATAAGGGGGATGCTCATGCATAAAATTTCAGTGCCGTCATTTGCCGGCTACCATTCATTGGATCGCAAGTCTCATCTGGCCGAATACTATCGTGAGTCGTCGCCGAATCGACTGGGTGTCTTCGACCGAACTTCCATGGCAGCGCTGATCAGTCCACGTCGAATTCCGCAACCGCCACCAGACAGTATGCAGCGCCATAGTATAAACGGTAACTTTCGTAGCGATTGAGTGGATTTTTCTTCGTGGCAGGACCACCATATCCTCTGCGTGAACTTCTTTATGAAATAATCGTCGTCTCGTGCTTGGTTGTGTTGGTGATGTTGGCTTCCCGCATGCTTCTGCTTACTAGAATCATAGCTAAAGGAAAGAAGTTGGGCGCTGAGCCTCACACTACTGACCAACTTTCACTAATTACATTGTAGCCATCAGCCCAATCCTTTATTACGTGAGAATCAATAACTTGCAATGGCCTTTTTTGGGACAATTCTTGTGGCCGGCTTTTTTGAGCGCTGAAACCGTAATCCTCCTCCACTTCTTTCCTTGCGCTATGTCTTAATGTAGCGCTATTCTGCGTGCTCTTCAGCTTCGAGAGCCTGTCTAAATTCGTCTGGGATGTCACGTTCGATGGTACTGCTTGAATCGGACCCCACTTCACCGGCTCCTCGAGCACGACGAGGCGCCAGTCCTCGTCATCAACAACGTCTACCGCTGTCCGTCGCTAGTCCTGTCAACAACAAGGGTATTTTCAGTTTTCCTTTCACACAGCCACACTTCACCTCTTGCTTTTTCTTAACTTTCCTAACTTTCTCCTACCTCTTCTTTGGTTGTTCTTTCACTCTATGCTGTCACAGATGAGCGGGTTTTGAGCTTCGGTCTCAGGTTTTGGTGGGTTTAGGGGCTTTTCCATTCTTCTCCAAGCAATATGGCGTCGAGATACCAAGGAGTGGGGCCCCGTGCTCTTCTTGATCTCGCTCCAGTTCTCATGCCATTAGTTTCGCCGGTTGGACTCCATTAACGGGAAGAGCATGAGAAGCTCTTGAACATGCAGCTTCCTTCCATTATTAAAGGATAAAGGATAAAGCATTTGCCGTTGATCAATCCCTTTTTGGGATGCGGCACGCATTCTACTTCCATTTGTACATTCGTAGTGGCGTTTGAATGCGATGTGGCCTATACAATGACTTGCGGGGGCCAGCCGATGTACAAGTCAGTTTTTATCCTCCCAGACAAGTCTGGTACCAATTAACCGACCCCGGAGGGATGGAAGGCTTGGTTGGCCCGGGCGACTCACGACCCAGGATTTGATCCCCGGACCGCTCGCGTGGTAAGCGTGCCACTTGCCACTACACCACTTCCGCCCTTTCTTTCCTTATAAATCAAAATTCCTTTTTATTTTGGGCCCGTTCAAGAAAAGGGAGTGGTGAATGAGAATGATTTAACGGATGTACGGAGGTAGAATAAAGGTAGAATAACGGTTTCTTTCTGAAGAAACGACCAAAATGAAGCCAAGGACCGAAAATAAAGACCCGCTCTTCTAAAATACAAAATAATGCTACTGTTTCGGTTTACTTGTTGGTTTTACTACTTATCTTGAGTAGTGGCGTTCAGTTTCATGAGGCTTCCTTTACATTATTTCTATTTCAAACAACAAATGTTACCTATCTGTTGGCTAACTGTGCAACTAACTTGCTTTTTCCATAGAATAATTAAAAGTGATGAGTTGTCGGTT